TACTAAGTGCCACACACTCTTTTTGGGGCACTCTTCCCGTCCGAGAGTCTTCCTGCAGGCCTTTGTGACAATGTAAGGGGTATATAAAAGAGAGTACTAAATATGCAGCAGAAATATACACAGGAAGCATACATAACATACACTTTTACTGATGCTGGCTGTTACTGGTGACTAGTGTGGCCCAGGAATTACTTGGGGCTAATTTTAAATTAATTTGTTCAGGAATATAACTGGGATTTTGATCGTTCTGTATACAGTATGCCCCCAAGTTCACGTATTTTTACTTCGCGGTTCTCGGCTATTCGCGGATGACACCCTGGATGTACCCAAGAATGTCTGTGGGTAGTTTTAAAGCTGCCGGCATTTTTGTAAATGTTTCTTCAGGCGCTAGAGTTAGCACACTGAGTGGAGTGTGGGAGGATCATTGTTAGGGGTAGGTAGAGGCATTGTAGCTGCATTGCAAGGGCAAGCATCGAGGCCAAGCGGCCAGCATTCCTGAGACTGATGTAGTGTACACATTAACTTGTTTCAATTTTTCTTTTCTTTTTTCTTTCATTATTGTTACAGTTTTTTATATTACAATGAACAGATACAGATATTTTTAGAGGTGAATCTTGCAAAATTTATACATATGAGAGTAATTTTAGTTGGAACTTAATTTCATAATTTGTAACACTGTTCATACTGTCAGCTGTTGTGGTGGTGGTCAAGATGAGTCTGGTCTCTTGTTATAAAATATGTCTAGGATTATACCAAGTATTGCTCAAAAGCTAGGGTCGAATTATACATGATGTATAGTGTGTGAAAAAATATGTTGTCAATGCCTATGTGCCTCCCTCCACCCCTACTGTACCTGCCCCACCACACCATATCACCTCCACCACCCCCACTGTACTTCGCCACGCCTAGTACATTGGCATCCCTGAGCCTGGCCGCACTGTTTGTAAACTCTGTGGTCAACTGACTCTCACACCCTCTTTCACCACATCCTCTTTTGCCCTATGACTTCCTCCTACAGGTCCCCAGCCCTTACCAACACCTCTTCCCTCCCTGACCAGATATCTCTCCTCCTAGTGACAGGCCTGGCACTTGACATTAATAGGGACCTGCCACACTTTGCCATAAACAGATAAATTGTACCGGGAATTTCCCCCCCACACACTCATCATTCTGTCACTTTATGTAACTTGCTGACAAAACCCATGACCCTTCAGGCCTTTACGCCCTTAATGCATGAGTCATAAAGGCAAGCATGAACTCCGCATGCTTCCCAGTTGGGCGCTGTAAATGCTTCTGCGCTTCACCTTGCACAGGATGTAAGGGTGTGCCCAATAAACTAGCCCCCTCGTGGGCAATCTGTAAAAAAAAAGAAAAATCTGACGACAAAAAATCAGGTCGGATTACTCACCATTAGATAGGCTTATACGCGAGTATTCATGGTATATTTACACTGTGCTGTCTTTAATCTTGGAGCCTCTCATCAGGGTCTTATCTCAGCTCAATTCTTACAACTTCTCCCAATATCATTCTTGGGTTACCCCTGGCTCTCCTCCCCTCCACTCATGCATCTCTTGAACCAGTTGGTCTCCTCCCTTCACATGCCCAAACAATCTCAACCTACCTCTATTGTGAAACTTCACCAATGCTCTCAGAATCCAGCTGCCCTCATTACTCAGAACAGGGTTTCCTGTACAGTACTTTACTTTTATCCTCTTCACCACTGATTGGCTCGTTTGCCGCTTGGGCGATCGGTCACGTCTCTGTTACTTTTCCTTTTCTTTTATCCTCTTCACCAAATGATCGACTCGTTACCCGCTTGGGCGATCGGTCACGTCTCTGTTACGCACTGTTGGCAAGTACTGGGCATGCACCGGCTCCTGAATGTACCTGAACCTGCTCCAGTGTTGGTCAAGTCTTGTCTTGAAAGAGCTCACACTCGGTGCCGTCACAACACTTTCTGGTAGATTGTTCCAAGAGTTCACAACTCTCACTCCGAAAAAGTTTGCCCTCACAATTTTCTGGACTTGCGGCTTCCTCAATCTTGAGCTGTGACCCCTTGTGGGGCGAGGGTCCGCCAGCTCCAAGTAATGACACTCGACTGAGTATTGCCCCTTGAGACGCTTATACACCTCAATTAGGTCACCCCTTGCCCGTCTGTAGTATAAGCCAGGCAAGTTCAGGCGCTCCAATCTCTCAGGGTAGCTGAGGTGCCGAAGTGCAGGCACCAGTCTGGTGGCCCTCCTTTGAACATTTTCAACCAACTGACAGTCCCTAGCATATCTCGGGGACCAGACGGGCTGACAGTACTCCAGATGGGGAAGCACTTCACTCTTGAAGATAATTACGAGGGACGGACCGTCTAGATATCTGAATGACCTTCTTATAAGACCCATAAATTTATTTGCCTGATCTACCTTCTTCTCGCAATGTCCCGAGAACTTCAGCTCGTCAACATACACACCTTGGTCCTTCTCACATTCAGTCTCAAATACTGTAGTGCAGTTTCTTCATCCCGTTGGGACATATGATACGCCTCCTTACCGTTGGTACGCCTCAGGTGCATCCTCTTACACTTCGTGACATTGAATCTCAGCAGCCATTTCTTCGACCATTCTTGGAGCCCACAGAGTTCCTTCTGCAGCTCTTCACAGTTCGCGTGGTTCTTAATTTCCCGAAATAACTTGGCGTTATCGGCAAACATTTGTATGGAGGAGTGTACAACGTCAGGCATGTCATTTATGAAACAAACAAACAACAGCGGGCCCAATACACTGCCTATGGTACCCTGCTTGTGGCAGGTACGGATGATGATTTTGTGCCATTAATCACCACACACTGCTTGCGGTCGTGTAGAAAGTGTTTTATCCACGCTAGGACATTTCCCCGAATTCCGTACTCTTCCAGTTTGATTTTCAGCCTTTCGTGGGGTACACTGTAAAAAGCCTTGGCAAAATCTAGGTAAATATTGTCGATATTACCACCCCATTCCAGAATATGGGTCCAAATATCCAATACCTTGAGCAATTGTGTTTAGCAGGAACGCCCCTGCATAAAACCGTGTTGGCAATCCTTTACAAGGTTGTTTCGTAGTAGATGTTCCATCGCGGCATCTCTGATAATACTCTCAAGTACTTTACATATTATGCTGGTCAGGCTCACCGGTCTATAGTTGTTCATGGAGTGACGATCGCCCTTCTTGAAGATAGGACTCACATAAGCCACTTTTCATTCACTGGGGACCTTTTGTTCATCCAGGCATTTACAAAACAGGATCTTCAGGGGCTCAGCAAGCTCGTTGCACAGCTCTCTTAGCACTCTAGGATGCACCATGTCAGGGCCGGGACTCTTATGGACCTTTAGCTTTGACGGTTTATTTCTAATACCCTCTTCTGTGAACACAATGTGGGTCAGTGCTGTGTCGAACCGTCTGTCCTCAAACGCAGGAAGGTTAATCGCATCCTCTCTTGTGAACACCGAGGAAAAGAAGCTGTTCAATGCCTCAGCTTTATCCTGGTCAGAATCTGCGTAACTACCATCTTCAAGCCTCAGGTCTGATACTCCTACTCGCGTTTTCAATTTCGACTTTGCATAGCGGTAAAACGCCTTTGGGTTTGACTTGACCTCGCTTGCAACCAGCCTCTGGAACTCCTTTTCAGCCCTCCTACACTCTATCTTTGCTTGGTTTCTGGCTCTTGCATACATCCTCCTGTCTTGCTCATCGTTTGACCCAACCCACGTCTTGAATTTCTGGGTTTTCTTCTTAATTTTGTCGACCGCCGCATGGTTCATGTGTAGGGATCCCCTCGTATTCCTAGAAGCACTGGGTTTGGTCTTGGGTATATATTTATCGATCAAATGGGTCACTTTACTAGTTATGATATTCAGCGTAGTGTCTGCGTTCTTGTACCTTAATGAGTCAGGCCAGTTGATACCCCTCATCTCTTCCCTCATCCCATTGTAATTTCCCTTGTAATATTTGCACCTTGGCCTGGCCTTATCCTGAACTAGGTAACAGTTAAATCTGAATGACAACACTATATGGTGACTGGTGCCAACTGGGGCAAGGTGTTCCAGTTTGGCCACCATACCCTCCTCGTTTGTTATGATGAGGTCTAGTGGCTTGGGTGTTTGCTCCCCTCTGTAATGTGTCGGGTCTCTAACATGTTGGAACAGAAAATTATCTCTCAGAGTTTCTACAAAAAGAGTAGCAGGGTTATTCAAGTCATTCGGGGTGAACTCGTTTCTCCAGTCGATGTCGCCATAGTTAAAGTCCCCCATGATAAGGAGGTGGCTAGGGTTGAGCATCGCCGCGTTGTTTATTAAGGTCTTAAGTTCCTTTGATTTAGTGGGCCACAGTTTGGGGATCTGTAGATACACCCGACGATAAGTAAGTCCCCTCCCTTTAATTTAATTTTACACCACTTGGACTCTTCAAAAACATCCTCTCCCTGTACCCTCGCCTGGCTGGCTCTAAGGTCTTGCCTAGCATAGATAACCACACCCCTCTTGCAAGTTTCTTGAGAAAGGTTCGTAAATGAGTCATATCCGGCAATACTGAACTCAAATTCCTCTGGGTTGATTCTCCTGTTCTTGTACAACAGTTCTACAACTCCTACAATATCTGGTTGGTGTACTTTCAGTAGTGTTTCAAACTCCTCTCTCTTATCAAGAAACGTGTCAGTATTAGTGTACATGACATTCAAGCCAGAATTTGTTCTCGGTAACGTCTCTGCTCTTCGTAGTAACCCCCCCCCCCATTCTCAGAAGCTGCAGCATTTGCTAAGTACACTGTATTTTGCAGGGTGTGTTCATTGTCACATTATACAGCCTTCTCTGCATTTTCATATCCACTCGCTCAGTCCTATGTGTGTCATCCTCTTTAATTACTCATGTTTCACAGTCTTACAACATTACACTTGTCACACTTTATTTCATTAAGCTCATGCTGATAAGGACTTTGATTGTTATTTAATGCTTATTATTTCATTTTTTCTTTCCAGTTGTATGGGGAGACAAGACAAACACGTACTCGTCCACGGCAGAGGCTGTTCTATCAGCTGCCTCACCGCCTGGCGTTCTCCTTGGCTCAAGTGGCTCCTCCCTCTGCTCTTGCTGCTGGGTCAGTGCCCCTTCATTGTTTGACACATTTTTGTTAAGCATCTAGATACATGGCCCTAAGAGGATTTGAAGAGGCTGGGGATCAAGGGAGCAGTGGCTTAACTGCTACAAAGCTTTCAACAAATGGGTCAGATTAAAGATGTTGAGTGATACAGTCTATGAATTTAGGTGTGTGTAAAGATAAACTGCATTAAAGTTAAAGCTTTTGTATTATCATATACAGTATATGAGTATTTTGAGCTTGAGACAACTTAACTCGGCTCAAATGTCAATTTAATACAGTACAGTACAGGTATATCATTATGGCTGATAGTCACTTCAAAGGGAAAAACCCCTGTGTGTGGCTCCATTTTGTGAGTCAAAAGAGTCTCACAAAACTTCACTTGTGAAATTTATCTTTATGTTTTCTATTTACTGCTTGTTTTTCTTTCTCTTGTTTCTTCTCTTGAAAGTTTTACCAACCATAAAAAGTGAGCAGTTAATAAGTTCAGTAAACCTTGTTTTATGTGAACTGGTGTCTATAAAAAGGTCAGGTAATGGATGGTTTGAAATGCTCTTTTGTAAAGAGAAAATCAAGGTTAGGTCCAGGAACTACTGAGACCATTCAATATTGGAATTTTTACCCCTTATATACTGTACTGTATTAAGACCCCTTCATAACATCATTTGTGTGTTAGTTGCAAGGGCTGATAACTGTTCAGTATGGTGCCTCACTCTGCCCAAACTGTTTGTTCTGTACTGCACAGTTGTGTCCTGTCTTAGGTTCTTGGAGAGAGGAAATATATACCATAGGTTAGGCTATTACGTACTGTACTTTTGGAGGTGATGCTACTTCTTATTAGTTAGGTAGGATATATTAAAGAGAGGATGGGTGAGGGAAGCACTAGATGGGAGGTGGAAGGACTTTCAAGAAGGAATTTTGTGTACATGATCAGAATACATGGCATCAAGTGGTTTTTGAGGAAGGACATTCTACTGAAGTGATGTACGTATAGGATGATGATAGTACAGTAAACTAGATGGATAGCCTGAGGACTTTTTGTACAATGGGAACACTACATAAGAACACATTTGGTGAGGTAGCTAAAAGGAATGACAGTGGATTAAGGGGAGTGAATGTTTCTCTTTGTTTCAGCCACTGTGTATGAAAAATGTGGGTAAGAGTGTTGGAGATTATTTATTATTGATTGGGAAGTACATTCACTGCCTGTCGACTCAATATTCACCGTTAATTTAATTTAAGCATTATGAGTCTTTCCGGATGTTGGGGATTCACTATGTAAAGTACAGTATATGCAAGTTAAGGATGTGAGGAAGTTTGTGTGATATTTCTGCCTGTTGCTTTAGCCCTTTCCTGTGATGTGTGCTGCCTTACACACATGTGGCTGGTGTACTGCCAGTTTTTATTTATCTATCCCGCTGCTGATACTTTTGGCATAACTGTGTGATGCGGACCTATGTCGCTATATAATGGTGACAGCAGCGGGATAGATAAATAAAAGCGGCAGTACACTTATGCCTTTGACTGACTTGTAAATTTACTGCTCACAGTAGGAGGACAAACTGTGGCTGGTTCATCCCATCCTCTGCCCTCCAACTTTATAATAAAAAAGGGCAATTGTTCTTCACACCCTATTCCTTGTCCTATACTGCATTGCCCCCCTCCTGTTGTATATTTCCTCACTCATATACACCAACTGCTGTATACTCTTATTGTTAGTCTCTTTACTCTACCATACTATTACAGGAGTCCCTAAGAAATACAAATCTTAATGTAGTGTATTCTTCTGATGGCAGGCATGTGTTCTTGGGATTCACAAAGTGTGGCCAGTTTGTGTTATCTTACACTCACTCTTGTGACACTGACGACCACACACTGCAGATGATACATAGGTAAGTACAGCACTGAAAGCCATTTCATGTATGAACACTCATGAATTCTGCATTACTTTCGTATATTCTTTAGTTACCTTTTATGAAATAAATTAATATCTTCTGTTATGACTGTTTCATCTGAACATGTTACCAGAAGGAATGAAGAGGCCAAGAGGCATACATGGGAAGATCTCTCGAACAATAATTGTATTTGTCAGCGATGATTGACTACTATATGTACTGTATCAGCATTGTCATTCTAAGGCCTAAGAGTACCCAAATTATTATCCTCTGTTTATCTAATGTTATTGCAGAGTCATAAGGTTAATTAATATACAATAAAAACTGGGTAAATCGTGGGTAATAACATATCAGATGGATGCATCATGGCAATACCAGGATCTGTACAGTATATCTTTCTAATGTAGTAGTACGGTATAGTTGGATGCATTTCTAGTAACAGCAGGGAGCCTGAGGTGTTATTTCTTCATAATTGTGATACATTTGTTATAGAATATCTGTTCATATTTGAAATACAATTTGTGTAGTAAGTTGTGGCAGGATATTGACCCCAGGAGGTTATCATTGCATTATTGTGCCAGTTTAGCTTCTGATGTTGTCAGTACAGTAAAGATTTCTTACCCCTACTACTATTTTTTGTTATATTGTCACAGGTTTTGTTGTTGTAGTTAGTAATTAAGCATTCTGTAGTTCTAGGACTACAGATAAGAATAAAAATTAAGAGAGAGAAATAGACAACTGTTGAACATAACCAATTTTCTCATTTATATATTCTGTACTGTATTCAGTATTTTGACTGAGCTCTTCATTGTGAGAGATGCAGGATTGTAACCTCATGATTTATCCAGTTTCTGCTGCACACAACAAAGTTATATAATTAATTTACTCAGTCTTATTTCTTGTCAACAGATATCGGCTACACTGGTGGGTATTTGTTCCTTATGCTCCTTTACGAAAAGTGGCAGAAGTGATGCTCTTTGGTGACCAGGATTTACAAGAGAGCTTGTATGAAAATTTCTTCATCTCTTTGTGTCAATGGCCAAGAGATTTGTCCAAAATCCTTGTATATGGTTGCAGGTAAGAGCAGCATTTGAGCTTTGTTGAGTGAGTACAATAATGTTAAATAACTGATCATATTTTATTGTCATTTATTGTGTCCTGCCGTATTTAAAGAAAATTTGTTACCTTGAACAGTTTGGCCATCTGAACTGAAAATATTTAATTGTGATTGGAAAGTTTATAGAATCTCCTTTCAAATGTTACTGTTTGTTTTCAATGGCCACATTAGCACTGTACAGGAGCTCCAATTAGTGGTTTGCTGCACATTTTAAGATAAAATATTGTACCCCTTCCATTTTATTATTCCCCACCTCATTCTGTGGCAGAGGCTGTTAATATATTTCAACTTTATATTCTACAATTATGGCCCTTCACTAATAGCTTACAGTAGTTTCTTTTGTTTTTCTACAACAGTGTGTGTACTCTTGTATACTGTGTACTTGTTGAGGAAGTGTTCATGCTTATCAAACTCAAGTCATCTCTTTTCAACCAAATAAATGACTTTGGTTTTCATTGCATTGAAACAACAAAGGAGTGAACTATGTCACATGGATTATCTACAATTGCACTCAATTTGTTTCTTTTTTGAGGAGTAAATTAAAAGATATGTACTTGAAAAACATATCTCACTGGTGCACCCTGCAAGTCTTGATATTACAGGAATGGATGATTTTGTGAAGGGTTTTGCCTCACCACAAGGCCATGGCCATGAGTGCTTCACCCTTTCCTTAGTATCCTCACAAGATTTTATATATTTATTTATTTTTTATCATTACAGTAAGATCTCTGTAAGTCGGATTATATATGGATGCTCAAGGCTGTCTGATGTATCCCCCCCTCCCCGTTGTTCACTTGCTTTCAACCATTATTTTCTGAAAAATTCCTTCTTAAAAGAAATAAAGTTAAGAGTGTACATACAGTATATACACAGTATTTTTAATCTAGCAGATGAATCTTGAGGCAGAGGACAATAGGGTGCTGCTTACACTTAGAATACCTATATTCACACTAATATATACAGTAATTACACCTTAGATTTATTTACACTTAACGGTATATCTAGTACTGCACAGTATACTGTACTGAACACTTAAATCTGGCTACTATCATAAACAGTACTTTGTTTCAGCCCAAACTCTCCACAGATAACATTCTTGGAGACCCCATCATCATTACTGTCTCATATCTTCAGTTTCTCTTCAATTGGTAGAGATCTGAGCACCATTCTTTTTCTCCCAGCGGCCATCAGTGGTACTGTTTTGTCTATACTTGTTTATTTGTTGGAGATAAAACATATAGATAATACCTCAAATTTATTTACAGTGGACAGGATGCAAGCTTGCAATAAATATTACCATCTTTTAATTCCTAACCTTGTATTGACTACAGTACTGTACTGTATTCCAACTTGACTTAGCCCCTTCCTGTCACTTTCTACAGTTCTCTTGCCTAATTCTCCTCATCAGTTTCCCCCCTGCCTTTGAGGTCATAATACTCCTACTTGATTCATCCTACACAAGGTGGGAAGAAGAATATAAATAATACAAGTTCCCAAATTGTGACTCTACCATTGACAGCATGATTGAGGGCGGTGACGGAGGCAGTTCCCAGACCCGCAGGTGTTACATCACTATTACTGCAGTTCCTTCTCTTGATAACTGTTCTGCTTGTTATCAAGTGGCCACTTCATATGAAGAAGATGGTAGATATATAATCTTGTTTATCTTGTTTTGTTTTTTATAACTGTACAGTATATTTAAGAGGTGAACTACCTGTATATTTGAATGTAAAATTGAAATATTCCTAATTACTCTATTGAATTCCTGGATTAATTTAATTTAAGACTGTGCATCATTGATAATGCATGATAGTAATGTGGCCATGAATTATATTAATGTCCTTGGTAAAGTTAACCATTTGTGCATGGGAGTTGCTACTCCACAAACTGTTGATAATATAGGTAAACCTTGATAAACGATGGGGTTAGGTTCCTGAAAAAAAACAAAACTTCGCTAGATAGGGAGCATTATAACACGGGGTTCAATGGGATATGTTCCCAGCCGGTCCCCAAACACACATGTATCACTGACAGAGAATTCCTGCTCTTACAAAATCAATAGAAAACAAACAACACTCACCACATCCTGAAGAATAAGTCTGGTCATCATCACATGTCCCCTTCAAGGCTAAGGGGACTCTTGTAGGTGGAGTGGAGATGTCACTCTGACTCCCACACAGCCTCTGGGGAGTCATGCAGATTCACAATGCCAAGCTTCGCCTCTGAGTCTTGGATGCCTTGGCCTTCCCGGACATTTTCAAAGTTACACTGGTCACCTCAGTCACAAAAACAGAGCAAAAGCATTTGTCACAAAAACAGAGCAAACAATGATAACGTTAAAACAATGATAGCAGCCATCACTGCTCACATCATTTTCATAGCAACAGAGGTGAAGCTTTTTACAGTCACAAAACAACAGAAAATATCCTATACAGTCACCATAACACAGTTCTTTATAAATGTTAGTACAGTGAACATACAGCCAACGATGCTGAATGATATTGTGGAGGTACATGATGGAGGGGAGATGCGATTGACAAAGAACCAATCACAGGCTTGTTGTGGTTTACACTACAGATAAAAAAAATGCAACCAATGGATATTGTTGGGTATTTGATGGATATCATTAAAGTGAATTTTTTGATCATATATAGCAAGATGGTCTTAATTCATGACCATCGTTAAAGTGTAATATCATGGAACGAGACAGTTTATCGAGGTTTACTTGTATTATAAAGGATATTAGATAGTGGTAATTACTGTAGCTATTTTTATACTAAATTGTAAATACCTTCTTTTTTTCCAGATCTGGCAGAGCGTTGGAATAGCTGTGTGCGATTTAGCTGTCTTAAGCATGGCATCACAGTTCATACCAGTTTTGAGATGGTACCGCCTTTCCCCAAGTTCCTCCCTAGTGTACAAATGAAACGGAAGGGATTTGTGGTGCTCAATGCTGGAAATTTTATTCACGTGTTGAACGTTGACTTAGAAAATATGGATAGAAAGATGAAAGAAGTGGAAACAGAGATATTAGGTGTTAGATTAAACGGTATCAGTGCGGTGGCGAGAGAGGAAGAAGAGGAAAGTGATGATGATAGGGAACAGAATAAAGTCAAGAACAGGAGAGTTTCAGGTGAGCAGTACAGTGTACCAAACTTAAGATCTGGCAAAGTTTACAACATGACGGACAGCTCCAGCAGTGACGTTGATCCCGAGGCTGATGGCCAGAGTAGTTGTGAGGAGGAGGAAATCACTCAGGTAGGAAAAGAACAAAACAATATTGGATTAGTGTCAAGTGGTTTGAAAATAACTTTAAATAGTGGTGGTAGATTAGGGTGTAGTAGTTCCATGACAGACAGAGACAGAGAATGGGAAATTTTGATAGGTAATTTGCCTCCAACTAGTGAAGAAAGGACTAGAAATGAAGACGCTGTAAGTGTTCACGTTGAGTGTCGAGGCGGTCAGAGAGGTTGTGTCTCTGATGGCCAGAGTGTTTCCCATTACTGTGACAATGAAAACTGTGATAACAGAAATCGTGGAAGTCTCTGCGGGCAGCAGAACAGTGACGCTGCCATGCGGGGTGTTGCCCGTAATCTCACGCTCAAAGAATTTCAGTTGCCTGATGACTCTCCTTATCACTTTTATGGCGAGAGTGACTGTTTTATTGACAACGACTCTGATGACTCCACAAGGTGCTCACACATTAGTGAAGATTCTCGTTTAGGCCGCTCTGATCTCAGGGACAGTTCAAGCAATGTAGATCGATGTCGAGCTGGAGTTAATTGTTGTGGAAATAATGGAATAGCTGACGACTTTCCCATTAATTCTCAACATTCACAACAACAGAGTAGAATGGTCCTCCGAAGCTCAAGTGAAAGTTCCTATGGTGAAAAAACTCCGACAAAGCAAGCCGAAAAAGAGTACGAATTTATAGATGAAATAACAGATTCGCGCCACGAAAAGCTTAGTGTTTTTCGTCGCAGACGTCTCGCTGACAAGAAATACGAATTTTCTGATGAAAATATGGAAAACGTTCCTCAGAAGTACAGTAGCTATAGAAGTCAGAGTCGTAGACTGCTGATGAGCCCGTCTCGTTCGCCAAGATTTCGTTCACTAGGCGTTCCATTGTCCGAGCTCTCAATAGAGCTTGGCGAATCATCAGGGCTTCTCAGATCAGTGTATGAGAAGCTTTTAAGTCCAAACTCTGGTAGTGGCTCACCTAATGATGTACTTCGGCCCATTAACCAGAACATCACCAGTCCTGTTCTATCACCACGAGATGACCGATGGAGAGAAGAGATTGACCGTTTGGAAAAGGTAACTAAAAATACCAGTATTTTTTATCATACATGTACAATATATAATCCTGTTTTTATTTTACAGCTTATTGAACAAGTGTACAATGCCTCAGGCTGATACCAAAAGGATGCCAGTGGACATTGTTGGAGAAGAGATGTCAGAACAGTTGGCTGTAGAGAATGAACATCTACAACTGGAAAGAGATTGTCTATATAGTGTTGGTCTTTCTACCGTACATTGTGACTAGAATATTTGCAAAAATTACAAATTAATCTTTTTTCTGTATTTTTTCAATGACAGTGATGCAATGATACACAGAATAGAACCCCAAAAAGAATTAGCTAATGTTTTATTCACTAGTAGCTAAACCAGAAATTATGATTAAAGAGGTACTGTATATACTTTGCTGTATAAAACAAGACTGATTGCCAGTACTGGAGAAGTCGTTAAATACCTGTACCTGTAGCTAATGTATACAGCATATGGAGAAGGATTTTTTACACATTGTATTGTACTGTACTGTCCAGGCATTCTCCTTTTTAAATTGAAGCACATTCTCCCATAGACTCCTATTATAAAAGCTGAAATATATTCCTCCAAAAAACTTCCCCAGAGCATATTAAAATGGGACAGATTGTTACATAATCTGCTTTTATTGAAAAATTTTGGTGTACACATGAATATATGCCAATGATAAGAATAATACGCAAAATACATGCAGTAACTGCATTACAGTAATAATGTTTTTGTGTACAGTGCTTGTGAGAAACCAGACAAGATTAGAAACAAACTGAGTAGTATGAAATGCCAAGGCAACATTTATAATACAGTAACTATATTACCCCAATGATATAGGTACATTATATATGGACTACCATTATATAATTGGAAATATGTTCTTTATGGTAAAAATCCCGCACTTGACCATGATTAATTATTTCATCTTCCCAAACTCCTGTTGGTTTGTTTATGTGGTACAAGTAGTGTGGTCGCGGATGCTTGAGCTATGATGCCGCTGCTTCAAACATCAGTCCAGGTGTACTCTGTATTGTACCTATCGTTTAATACTGTATTGATTTTATTTTGCTTTCATAATGCCCTTAAATAAACACAAAAGAGATAGAACTAAGTTTAACAGTACTAAAGGCAATGTCGAGTGCTAAATGTAAGAAAAAAATGGAAATTCTACCAGATGGCCAGACGTCTGACTCATCTCGTTTGACATTCCACCAGTCTTCCATCGTGAGTTGCCAGCATTTTCCACACCTCTGAACATTTCTTCATTTCCAGATTCCACACTTTCTCTTTCAAGTACAGTACAGTACTGTACAGTATACACCTTTAATATACTGTACATAATTAGCATGTGAAATTTAAGAGTTCAGGTCCATCAGTTTACAGTACAGTATAGCAATACTGTATAGTATACTGTACAGAACTTAGATTGAGTTGGTTGCATCTCTAGGTCTTTAACAGGAGGGAAGTCTTGGTTTAGGATCTTCTAGTGAGTGTTCATGATTGCATCACTAGTGGTTCATCAATATGAACTCAGGGTCTGAGTTTCATTTACAGTATTCTTAAATTAATGTTTTCACCTAGTTTTTAGTTTCCTAATACTGTACTGTACACAGCAGAGGGAAAGTAGTGATCTAGAAAAGTAAAGTAGAAGGCTACAGCTGTAGTAGCAAGATTGTTTTATACTGTACTGTGCATGTATTTAAAGGTATACAGCTGAAACCAAGCAACAATGAATTGTCACCACAATAATAACTAAACAAGACCAACTTCAGGGAATAAAGCCATATATTGTACCCATAATGCTGCAGTTGGCACTCCTGTGTGAAACATGTTTAATAATGAGTTCCAAATCCGTTCCTTCAAATGAACTCCATTTTAGGATTGTGACAGTGAATATACTTATTAATTACTGTATATTACTTTTATCTGAAATTAATCCACTGGTTTGTCTTTGTAAAATATTGTTTTGAAGAATTTTGAAAATTTTTACTTATATAACTTGTAAAATTTTTGTGAAAAATGAAACTCCTGAAATTTAATTCCAGTACCGGTACACCATTTTGGATAGTCTACCAGAATTCTTAATCTATTGCATACCATTGGCTCACAAAAAGTGGAGGCTGGTTGGCATTTAGTACTGAAGTAATTCAGTTGTCGTCTCAGTCAGCATTCAGTGGCCTTGTTTCTCATCTATAGTTTGAAGCAGCCATAGCATCTTCAAGGTATGAACACTTGTTCTTCTGCTTAAGAAAATGAATTTGCCAAATATATCCAGTGAATAAGTTAAGTAAATATATATCCTTCAAATTGATGCAATATGAGATGCAGGAACCTAGTCAGTAAATGGCCTTTTGTTTATGGATCTGGACATGGAGCATTAAGTATAATAAGTAATTCATCTCTTCTAGACAGGAGTGGCCAATCACTTTTTCCAGCTACTGTATTAAGAATGGTAACCATAGCTACACTAAATGTCAGACAAACACACACAGCCACTGGATTATGACATGATAGCATTCCTCCATCAACTCACCTCTAATGCCAGACTCAGTCAAATTCACATAGGTCAACTTTGCTACAGCCCTTGATCCTTCTGAGAGTTATGCTATGCCTGGATGGTGAGTCAGCAGCAAGAACCTGCACACCAACAGAGGACAGTTGTTAGTTGGAGGGTCGACTATAAAGACTTGGTGTTCAAATTAGTTTTGGCCCCACACACAATTGCTGGTTCTAATTTTTCTGGAGTTAACTCTTCTTGTTATTTAAAGAATTTCCCTGGAACTTAGAAGAGTTGTTGCTCATAAAGTGAAGATGTGCACATGATTATTGTTTTGCTCTGAAGAATTTTTGTGAAGAGTAATTAAATTCATAAAATCTTCACACAACGGGGCTTTTATGCCATTCTGGCACAACTCTATAACAGATCTACTTTCTCGTTGGGTTATAGCAAGTGAAGAAAGTGCCTTAAAGCACAGATTACTTATGTTTGAAGTATTGTTTAAAAGGTGTAGAGAAAGGAAGATGTTTATTCCAAGGAGGAGTGTGTGGAAACTGAAGGAACAGAATGTAAGCGAAGACTGGAAACATCCAGTGAGAGTGAGGGGGAAGTGTAGTGAGATGCTGGGCATGGCTGACAAGATGTGTGGCTGGACAAAGGGACCTGTCAGGCATGCAGTAGCCTGGTGGTGGAATGTTGAAGTAGACAGAACAATAAAGGACAAATGAAGATGGTATAAGGCCTGGAAGGTGGGTGGTAACAAGGTAAGAGTACCATACAAGGCTAAGAAGCATGAGAAGCATGAACAGGACACATTTATGGATATGATGAATAGTGTAGACACAAGAGGAATGGTTTTTGGAATAGCCAGGTAAATGCAGGTGTGCCCTGATAACCGACGTATATAAGGACCGGAAAAAGTCATTGGATAGTGAGGCTTATATTGCAGATTGAATTTGCATGTGCACTGTAATGAGCCACAGTGTAGCTATACTATAGGCCCCCCCTCCCCCCCCCCCATTAATCCTTCATTAAACAGGGTAATCCCTCTTTTTGATCTAAGTGTGTGCTGCGGCATCAGATTTTAAAGGCAAAATGCAGAGTCCCTCACCATGCTCTGCCATTTTTCATTCTATCCCACATTGCTTAAATTTAACCTAAGAATCACCTTTTCATGTTCATTCTCCCCAGATTTCCAAGCCATAATGATAAACATTCTTTTCGTTAATTTTGTGCTGTCCTTCTCAGTACCATGGATTCTTATAATTTGTTCATAGAATATTATTATTTATGCCAATGGGTTGTGTGAGTAGAGGTGTCACTGCTGTCTGTAATTATTGTCTTCAACTATGTAAGTCAGTAGCCTGTATCTGGTTCTGAAAGAGTTACAATAAACATAATTTGAAAATGTAATTATCATAACAACCTCTAGTGCTAATCTGTTGTGTGGAATCAAATGGTTAAAGATCAAAGTCATAGTCATGAAAAAGGAATCTCATCATGAGATGACACCAAGCTCAAGTGCATTCAAGTTGTATTTGCACATCACAACCAGTTGGTCAGAATTTTTTTGTATTCCATCAACTGGTTTGTTATCAGAAGTACTTTTCACCTTCATGCAGTGAGAAGCAATTGTACTCTCTTTGTGGTCATCTTGCCACATTCTATAAACTTGCAACTCAATTGGTAAATGTTGAGAGCATCAGTTCTTTATCAGTCTATCTGTTTAGGACTGGTAGTTATTCATATGCTTTGTATGTACACTACAAGTATAGGCAGTCTATTTGTAAAATCAACTTATTCATTGATAATCCCCTCCCCTCAGCACAGGAGCAGGGAGATAAAACAATAAATTTGTCTGGCCTGTGTCAGCGAACATTTTAACATAAATGTTCCCTTTTATGTGATGATACTGTAGTACAGATTGAAAATTTTCCCTTGTGTTCATTAGTGCTTAAGTTATGCCCTCTTCAAACTTGGAACTACGTACAGTAACTGATTTTATGACGTGGGAAATGTTTAGCGTGAAGTTTGAGGAAGTAGTGTTCACCTTCAATGTTATGTCATTCTAACTGTTCTTATTTATTAAAATTGTAGCAAGTATTGTACAGTACTGTGCCTACATATGGTCACTAGAGATGAGACATGCATATTCACAATTAGTTTTCATTTGGTTATTATGTATTACAGTAAAATATTGGAATTACAGGGTGAGCTGAAAGTAGGCAGGGAATGGAAAGGTATATGTACTGTACACTACTACATTTTGGCCCAAGAAAATTTTTATACTGTATAGTAAAGTATACCTATATTACATGTAGGCATATGAAAGGATTTGTGGTCTATACCTAGGCATACAAACAAATGCACTAGAGCACTCTATATACATAGACAGTATAATATATTTAGGTTTTGGTGAAAGTTTATGCACTATTTAGTGCTTGGAGAACTACATTTAAGGATTTAAAAAGTTCATTTACTCTTTTTAGGCATAGGAAAAGGTTTTAGTTAATAGGCATGAAAAAGTACTGTACAGTATATATGTGCTACATTTATGCATAGGAAAAGTTTATGCACTATTTTTAAGCATAGGGGAAGTATGTGTACTGTACAGTATTTAATATAATAAGTATTAATCTTTTAAACAGGCAGAACTACAGAGATGGAGCTCACGAGAGAGTTTAGGACTGTATGCTCTTAGTCCAGGTTGTGTTCAGAAGTCTAGTGAAAGATCTTCCAATCTAACACCAAATAGTGTTTCTGATCTCAGTCAGTCACAGGTAAGTTCTCCACTGGTATTTGTGTCTATTATTCTTTACCAGTTTTATGAATTACCACTAATTATATGAAGGCATCATGTATGATAACGAAGTTTTGTATATACTGTACACTATTGTATGTAATAAAATCACAAGACTAATCACTTTATTATCCCTTATTGTTACACAAACAGATGAAAGATCTGGACACACAAGTTTGTTGCTTTTGTCCAGAATAAATCTATGTAGTACAATATGTAGGGGTTAATGCATAAATCCATGTTTTTATTTTTGTCCCTGGCCTTTATAGGTGACTCAGGTTATAGCCAAACCAAATGTATGGAGTTAAAGCATTTGCAACTAATGAGATAACATTTAGGTTGTGTAAACAGTGTCTCCTGCCAATTATAATTAAATCCCTCGTATAGGTCTCCGTGAAATAGGTTTCATTCAAGACAGAGGGTTAGTAAGTCTATAATAAAGTGTATTCACATCACCTCACTTGCTTGTTTCAGCCATAAACTAGGGAGGCTGAACTGATCCCTGTCAGTCCTGGCCACTGCAGCAATGGTGGCAGATGTGTTCTGTTGTTTGCTCATGCACCAAGTCATTTTTTTTCTTCTGCACACTATTTAAAGATAGCTGGGTAAATCTTTTATCTCTTTATCGTTGTTGGAAGTTTGTATAACACTAAACTTTGTATTCATTGTACCTATTTTCTCAAGGTAAAGTGATTAAGAGACTGCTTTAAATATCATAAAGCAAGAGCTGTGAATAAAGCTCAGTGTTCATTTAACAAACATTTTAGTTCACGGATAATGTACTAAAAGTGAAGTTTGATGAAAATCTGTCAGATGATTTCAGAGATGTCTTCAAAGAAATTGGTAATGGACAATGTTTGTTAATTTTAGAAACTGGCCATATTTCATGTTGGTTTGTCACCATTTAAGCACACTTGAGAAACCTTGATGCAAGGATGCCACATGTGAGATGTGATGAAAATGTGTTGTGAAGTTTCTGAAGTATTTTTGACACATCACCCTATCATGATGATAAACCTTTCTGCAAGTGAGCTAAAAACTGTCTTGTACAGACTGTTACTTGCTGTGTGGGTCAACAGAAAAATACATTCTGGGATGAACAAGAGTAATTTGTAGCTCGAGCCAGTTGAAGAGAAGTTCATGTTTGGTGTGGACTTGAGCACACATGGGAGCAGATGTGAGCTGGAACATGGAAGTTACAGCTTTGGGAAGAGAAACGAAGTTGAAGAAGGGATATTGGTAATGGTTGAGAGATTAGACATCTGTGTCAATACTGGGTTTAGGAAGAGAGAAGAAACAATTTTGACTTATAGGAGCAAGTGAAACAAGAGCCAGATCAGTGCTAGGAAATGTGTAGTAAGCAGCAAGGTTATACCAGGGGAAGTGTTGACAGACAGCACAAGTTGCTAATCATAGGTGCTATGTGGTTAAAGATAAGGAAGAAGGGAGTAACCAGGAGACAGATTGAGGTCAAGTTGATGGACCAGAGAGAGGAGATTTGGTGGAGACAAGGGGAGCGAAGAAGAATAGAGAAGTTCAAGGAAAATGGAATAAAACAAAGAAAACAGTCATCAAAGTGGCAGAGAAGGTGTGCAGAAGAACCAAGTAAGGGAGACCTCAGGAAGAGAAGACTTGGTAGTGGAATACTGGAGATGCAAGGTTTGATTTAATTTGATATCATTGGGAATTCATCACAAGTACTTTTTTTTTTTTTTAGGCACCCCCCTACATCCTTGTGTAAGGTGAAGCGCAGAGAAGCGTTTACAGCGCCCAACAGGGAAGCATGCTAAGTTCATGCTTGCCTTTATGTCTCATGAGTTAAGGGCGTAGAAGCCTGAAGAGTCGATGGTTTTATGCCATCAAGTTATTGGAAGCTCCAACAACTTTCCCTGAATACGAATTTGCAACTTTCGACTTACAACAGGTACCTACTTTACTGCTAGGTGAACAGGGACTAATGGGGGCTAGGAAGTATGCCCAAACAACTTCCACCAGCCCAGGAATAGAACCCGTGACATCTTGCTTGCGAGGCAAGAGCGGTACTGCTTCTACCACCGGCCCCCCATCACAAGTACATATGATAGAACTCAAAGGATAACGCCAAAAGACTTATTTACATTTAAAGAGTACCAAACAACTGGTGAAGGCTGGACAAAAGAGAGGTTTAGAGCAGTTAATAGGAAAGTGAAGAAAGCAGTGAGCAGAGGTAGGTAGGAAGTGGTACAGATGTGCTGTGACAACTTGGAGGCACTAGAGGTAGAGATGGAAATAATAAAAGCAGGCCCTTGAAAGTGTAGATGCAGTGCAGAATGAAAAGAGGGATTCTTTATATTGGGAAAAGAACGTTGAAACTAAGTGAAAAGATCAAAGTCTGATAATCTGAAAGCCAACTAGAAATAGAAAATGAGAGAGATGTTAATGTAGAAATGGTAGCAACAAAGGGACCCATGATGGCTATCAAAAAGGAGGAAGTGATGAGGACACTCAGTTTGATGAAAAGAGGGAAGGTCTGGATGAAGGAGTGGTGTTGGTGAACGTGTTGGGAGATCAGGGGATGGAGTAACCGTTGGAGGGGAGAGATGAGAAGATACCAGAGGATGGGAAGAATAGTGTGATAGTGCCAATGTATGAGTGGCACTGGACTGTGGAGGATGTTATGAAGGCATTGGAGTGGACCCTTACTGCCGTACTCTGTTGTAATGCCTTTTTATTTTAGCAGCATTTGTATGCATGAAAAAATATATGTACTGTGTATTACAGTACGAGGGAGGGGGGAAGACCAAGAAGATGCAAGAATGTTTGAAAGAAGCACTAGAAGTGAAGGGGATAGACATCCAGGAAGCAACAGTGTATGTGTAGGCCACCCTGCAGTATGGCAAGAGAGAGCCTTGTTTAGCTATTCAGCAATCCGGCTGGATATCCATTTTTTTTTTATTGGGCGTACGTAATTAATTTTTATTACTCAACTAGCTAGAGTTTTAGACTATATTGTACCTGTATGAGAGTGTTTGTACATTTTCCTGAATCTTACATGAGCCTTTACTGTATTATAATACTGTGCTGTACAGTATTGTATAGTTGGGCAAATGATAGTCTTTACATCCAGTCTTCTACAAAATTTTATTCCAACTTCAGATTTTACAACTTCAGCTGCTTCAAGGGAATAACTTGAGATAGAGTTAACTAACTCAATCGTCATAAGAAAATAAACTGCAGTGAAAACAAATGTATGCAAAATAAGCTGTGTCATCTGTAGAGTTTTTATTTTAAAATAAATTCTGTTATTGAAATGTGCTCTTATATTTTAGACAGAACACGTGCCATTAATTTGGGGAGTAAAGAACACTGGCAAGACAAACCAGTTCTAAAGAAGTAATGACAATCATTATGGTAATAATTGTACATTATAATGTATTGGTTACTTTCTTAGTTTCTTATAAAGAAATTTAATGATTTCATAATAAAAAGAAGCTTTTCAGCATTTTATAGAGCCAATCTGTTTTGATTTTCTTTGTATTGCTTTGCCCTGTGGCATTGAACGAGCATTTTGAACTAACAGTACAGGGTACTTGAAGTTGCATTCCAATATTTCAGTACCAATGGTTTGAGTTTTACAATCACAGTGCAATAACGTTTCCTCCATTCAAGAGGATCGGCATTTCTTGGTGTTAGCCGGAGTGCCAAATATTTTTAATTTTTTGCTTTATAAGTGCCCCTTTTCCTGCCTCTTGTAACTAAACTTTTCAAGCTGTCGTGTGACACTGCCATTTTTGTATTACAAATATATACAGTATACACACACACACACACACCATATTGTTACAAACAAGAAAGTTTCAAGTATTGTGCACGCACATACTCACGTTATCTTGCTACACCAGGAAGTTTCAAGGAGGTCTACTGCACATGCACAGATTATTAGATATGAATCCTATAAATAGGAAAGTGTTAAAATATACCAGTACACAGCACAAAACAAAACCAGGGTGTACATAATACTGTAATAAGGATTGTCCGGCCAGACACTGGATATCAGGTATCTAACCGATATAAATAAATTGATATCCGGCTATCCAACAAATTTATATTCCGGCCCATCCTAATAATGTTTTTGGGCCGTATGCACCTTCCATTTTTTTTTTTTTTTTGTATATTCTTAAAAACTTGTGGTAGTGATGGGCTTTTAGTTTATAATGCAACTTGTACTTCTCATTTTTCCAGTCCTTGAATTGTGTTGTGGACTTTAACCGCCGGTACATTGAGGTTGACGATGAACTTGTGTCTATCATCACAGATATAGAAGGTAAGGGCAAGTCTGATAACCAGGAACAATATTTAGGCTTTGAAAAATGAATTGTAATTACATTTTTTATTAATTTATCTCTGTGAATCATGGCAACTTAAATTAAAGTCGTTCATGAACCATTAATAACTATTTCACTGAATATAGAAGAGACAGTTTTGGTTTTAGGTGCAGTGTGAGTATTGTAGTACATGTACTGTAGAAAGTTAAATTTAACATTTCTACATGCTTACTTGATGTAGTTGCAGTATATTTATTTATGATACCCATCTTGAGAAAAAGTATTTTAATTGGTAATTTGATTACTTTATCCATTTTGCTGTGGTTAATCATGTCTAATTCTTTTTCTGTACAGTCTGTATATTAATAAATTTCTCATAAAGTGCAGGATGTTATATTTCTGAGTTGTTCTAGATATTTACAGTGTTAATAAGCAGGACTGCCACACCTTTGATTCATTTAAATATGATGAAAATTTTAGAGGAAGATTGTTATGATATAAAATACTGATGAGGAACAAGATAAATATTCCTGATCAAGAACTTTAGACTAAAAATTGTCCACTGGGCCTCTACAACAGAATCTCCTTGCATATGGTATACTGCACTGTACTGTACTCTACTCACAGTTTGGAAACAGAACCACTCTAAAATTGTCAGCAGCTTTTTAACTTCATAAGTTTGCTGTTTACACAAATTTCATGAAATGGCTGCCAATCTGTCATTTTCGATCTGATCAAAAACTTGTTTCACATTCATGAGAGTACTGTACTGTGGTGCTTTACACTTGTGTGAAGCATAATTGAAGTTAAATCCTGAAATTCCATTCCTTGATTTAGAGGTAAGCAAATGGCTCACAATTTATAGTTCTCACTGTCCCTAAGACAGACCCAACTATCTACAGTATTGGCATACTTTAGATACAGAAATACAGTACAGTAAACCCTTGCCATTCGCGAGGGATAGGTTCCAAGAAATGGCGCGAATTGACAAAACTGCGAATAGCAACTTATATGATACCTTAGTGCTTTAATATACAGGTATACCTATACTGTGTGAGAAACTTAAGTCACAATACTGTACTTACATTAGTATGTGGAAGTCTGGAGCTTTCTCAGTTTTCACTATGTTTTTGTTACGAACAACCTACACCACTTCAGCACTGTGAATTCGTTCACACCAAACAACCAACCAACAGCGGTAGCACTCATCCCTTCCTTTAACTTGTCTAATAAATCAACTTTCTTTGTCAGGGTCATCACTGACTTTTGCCTTTTATGTTTCACTCCACTAGCATCACTAGCACTGACACTAAGCAGTCTTTTCTGGGCCATTTTCACCTCTCCCCTATACCCAAAGCATGACAATTGGTGATTCAGTTATGGCGATTAGCAGACACTGAACCACAAGCCATCTGTAGCCTCATGATAATAAATTAAGCCTGTGTACCAAAAGTAGCAGCGAAGATGTTTTACAAGCTTTCACAAACAGAACATCACCAAAACTTGACATTTATTTAGTGGGTTTAAGGCATTTAGAATTGTGATACAGTATATGGTTTCGTTATAATTAATTTTGTTTTATTTAAGGAAAATACAAACCTTAAACTCATCATGCTATTTTATTATAACAGATGATGAACTGGGAACAGCAACTGGCTATCATAATGCCTTACCTCTTGAAGTACATGGGTCAGGCTACACTCAGATGCATATGATCTCCAATTCCAAGGCTGAAAAACTGGTCAGTTATTACTATCATTGTAATTTTCCTCTAATCTTCCATTCTTTTAAACATTTTCTTCCTTCAATGCAGTTTGGTCAGAATCATAAGCAAACACATACACCGTTACGCTCCCTTTGTTTACCCTCGTGCCTTGTGTGTATTCCCCATTAAATTTGGGGTTCAAAACTCGGGTAAACTCTAAACAATAAAACCTTTCCAATGCATTCATAACCTTAATAAATAGGTCTTGGAAGCAATGGTAATGAATTGTATCATCACTTCTTCCTGTCCATTATTGTCAGTCAACCTTTCCAGCCACCTTCCTGTCATTTATGTGTCATTAAGGAGAGCTAAGTACATTTGCCTCTAATTTTTGAGGTGTGAGGAAGTTGATGAAGGGTGAGTCACACAGTCCTGAACTATTAGCATAAGGCATTTATAACTTTTGTTGATTTCATTTTTTATTTCAGTAACTCTTACATAGTTTTTATTCTGACAGATGGCTCCAGGTGTATTAGTTAGACAGGTCAGCTTGGATGTTGAGCAGTTTTGTCATGAAATGGCTCAGAGATTGTGTACTGAGGCTGGCAAGAAATATTTCTTTTGCAATGACTACAATGTGGAGATAGTTGATGTAAGTGGCTCAGTAACTGTTATTGTATCTGTTTCTCTGTAAAGTCTTCATGTAAAAAACGTTTCTTCTTTCTAAACTTGTCTTGGATCTCTCACTCTCTCTTTCTCTAGCTGTTCACTCCCTTTTTATGTCTTACCATTTGTAAGTAACAGCTAGATCTATCAGAGACAGGTTTGTATTTGCTTCATATATGTGGCAGCTGTACCTCTCATTTATACCAAAGCACATACTACTGTACACTCATGGGTATATATATATACAGTGTATATATATATATATATATATATATATATATATATATATATATATATATATATATATATATATATATATATATATATATATATATATATATATATATATATATATATATATATATATATATATATATATATATATATATATATATATATATATATATATATATATATATATATATATATATATATATATATATATATACACACGCTGATAACCACAAGGAAAGAAGAAAACACGAAGTTCCCAAGCGCTTTCGTGTAATTCACATCTTCAGGGGTGAGTACAGTCTGTACTCACCCCTGAAGATGGGGTTATAAATGTTCATTTTGTATATATAAATTACAATACAGGGAATATCACATTCTGGATAAAGTAATTTACTTTAATTTAGTAATACTTTAGTTTATATCTTATTTAGAAGGCAATTTATCAGTAATAAAATGTTGATACCATGTGGAGATTTGTTCATGAGTCAGATGCTCGTAAGTTTGGGACTCACTGTATTTAAATTCATACTGATACACAAATAATGCTGTTGCCTGTCATTCCTTGCATATCATTGTCAATAATGAATTAATTTATTAATTGCTACTTGTACTCTTGTTTTCATATGATAACTTTGTGCATGAAGCAACACTGTACTGCACTCTGTATATTTTGTACTGTATTTTAGAATAAGTTGTTGTTGTATTGTTTGATTTAGTAGGGAAGATACTACCACATTTTTCATGTTGAGATCTTGTAACATATTTGTTGACAGGTGTGCCCAAGCAGTGGGGACATTGTGGCCCTGGCATCTGTGTTGGTCCAGGCTGCCACAGTGGTAAAGGGGCTTAGCAAGACAGTTCGATCCCCACTTAGTTCCTTAACCCGTCGTCAGTACAAAACTACAGCAACATTTATCTTTAACATGGATACCAAACAGTATTATCTCATTGATAAGGAGCCACTACTTGAAGAAGATCCATACAGGTGAATATTGTATTGGTCTTTCTTAACTTTAACAAACACAGTACTGTACAGGCAGTCCCCGACTTACGGCTGGGTTAGGGACCCAAATTCAGGTCGTAAGTCAAAAATGCGAAAATAATACATAGAAAATCTAAAATGGTTGTCTTTTTTTTTCTCAGCACCACAAAACTCTCACTTTTAAGCTTGCCAGCCATTTTAAAGGGAATTACAAACGAAAATTTTGTCAGTACACGGCGCAATCACTAACGTGGGGACTCAAAAATACGTAATTTGAAAAAAATTTGGTACGACTGTGGCGGTCGTAAGTCCGGGTGGTCGTAAGTCGAGGAGTACCTGTACAGTCTCTCCTCAACTTACGACGAGATTCCGTCCAAACGACCAGGTCGTAAGTCGAAAAGGCAAAAATAATACAAAGAAATTCTAAAATGAAATACAGTACAGTAAAAGTAATCAATAATGAAAATGAATAATTAGTGTTACTGTGCACTTACCTTTAATGTAGTCAGCTGAATGCACACAGGGCCTCAATAATTTTTTAATTAAGCATGTAGACTACATTAATTGGATGAAGCAGAGGAGGAGACAGGGCTGGGTGGGTCATCAAGTTCACTTTCTTTAGACAGGCTAACATACTTGCTTGTTGAAGGTATTGGATCATCTTTAGGGCGTGAGGAGACAGCAGTGGGGGACTTCATAAAAAATATGTCCAATTTAGACTCCACAGTTTGCCTTTTCTTTTCATTGTAATTCTTCCTGTAGCAAGCAAGTCCATCTTGGATCAGTCTGTCAACTTTTGCAAAACGCTCAACATTTTGATCCATTTCTTCAAACATTTGTATCCCCTTATTAATAGTAGCAAATGCCTCTGCCATTTGTTTCACTGAAAACTTTTTGGGGGGTGTAGGCTCTTCTTCTACATTTTGTCTCTCTTCTTCCTTTGCAATTTTCTGTGCATCCAGTTCAATAAGATCCTTGTTACTTAGCTCTTCTGCTACACTTTCCACCAACTGCTCAACATCTTCATTATCAATTTCAAACTCCAGCTGTTGACCCATCTGCACTATCTTGTTACTAATCTCAGAAATTGCTTCATCTTCATTTAATCCTTTGAAACTGTTCACATATCTTTTTAGGACCTTCTTCCATATTCCATTCATGCACTGGTCTGTAACCTCATCCCATGCTGCAGCTATGTTTTTTGTACATTACAAAAAGTTGTAGTTCTTCCAAAACTCTCTGAGCGTTTTCTCACCTTCAGTAGCAGCAATAGCCTGAGCAAAGGTCGTACGTAAATAATACGTTTTAAAAGCAGCAATAGCACCTTGATCCATGGGTTGGATGATAGAGGTAGTCTTAGGTGGAAGGTAGACTACCTTAACATCAGGTTGCAGGTCGTCCAGGTGTGGTGGGTGTCCCGGAGCATTATCTAAAATTAAATAAAATCTTGAACGCAACCCCTTGTTGCAGACAATACTCCCTGGCTCGTGGAATGAAACAACTCAGGAACCACTCCTCAAACAGTGCTAGGGTCATCCATGCTTTCTTATTACTGTGATAAAACACTGGCAGTGTTTGCTTGCTGACATTTTTAAAAGCCCTTGGGTTCTCTGAATGATATATCATGAAGGGTTTTACCTTGAAACCAGCTACATTCCCCCCAACAGAAGTGTGATTCGGTCCTTGAATACCTTGATTCCCGGCATGGTTTTTGCCTCTTTGTGGATGTATGTCTGTTCTGGCATGTGCTTCCATAATAAGCCAGTTTCATCCACATTAAATATTTGCTCAGGCAAACAATTTCCCTCCACGATGACACGGTCTAACTCCTTAAAAGCTTCAGCAGCACCCACATCAGCACTTGCTGCCTCTCAACTCACCTTTACACTGTGCGAACTGTAACGTTTCTTAAACCTTTGGAATCACCCATGACTTGCTGTGAAGTTTTGGTCCCACTCATCTCCTGCTTGTTCTTTCAGGCTTTCGAAAAGGCTTCTTGCCTTAGCCTGTATGGTTAGAAGGCTTAAGGGTACACACTTTTACAGCTGATCCTCCATCCACGTCACAATTAATTTTTCCATCTCATGAAGAGGACCTTGTCTTTTTTTCGTTATTATTGTTCACTTTATAGGTGCTGATCCTTTCACTACCTCACGAATTCGTTCCTTGTCCTTCAAAATTGTTGATATCGTCGCGTGAGAGAAGCCAAGGTTGCGTGAAATGGTTGCTACTGGTTTTCCATTTTCATATTGCATTATTATTTTCATTTTCATCTCAAAAGTAATTGATTTTCACTTTTTCTTCTCAGCACCACGAGAACTCTCACGTTTACGTTTGCCAGCCATTTTAAAGGGAATTACAAACGAAAATTTTGTCAGTACACAGCGCGATCACTAACAACAACAACAACGACGGCCAAATAACAACTGAGCGGGCTGCGGCGTGGCTGCTGTACACCACGAGGCGACCCAGCCCACGCTGTCGTACGGGGTCACATTACGACCAAACGTTTCGGGACTCGAAAATACGTAATGTGAATAATATTTTATACGCTGTCCGGGTTTTCATAAATCGAGGAGAGACTGTACTGGTTTACCATGTGTACAATGATTGATTTACCTATTTCTTTATACAGAATTTCATGTTTATATAATCCCATATTAAGACACATTGCCCAACTGTTATAATTATTCACTGTATTGATTGATATTTAAAGTGTACTGTACAGTAGTATTTTTTTTTATGGTGCACACCTTTATGTTGATACTGTAGTAATCCACTCAGGCAGTTCACCAAATATGATCATAGACAATATAATTCATGAAAAGTCTGATTGCATTTGTTGATACTTTGATAGTATTGAGACCTTGGAAGGAGACGTGGGTGATGAGAGATGGTGGCTGAATGCTCGGCAGACGGCCCGTCAGTTACGTCAACAGTGGACGTATCCAACTGACTACTATTCTAGTGTCAAGGTCATGACAAATGAACCTCTTCTGAAAGGTAAGATCCTTCATGGATATTTTTAATTTTCTTCTCTTAACTATAATAAGCTTAGTTAGGTGTGGGACTAACTGTGTAAAGCTAATTGTTTAAAACCAGTGTCGTAGTAGTATAGTACAGTATTTTAACTAAACTAGTAGATTTGAAGCTTATTACCCAAATGTTGATTATTACTACAATTCACGAAGCAAAGTGCATACTATACAGGTATAGTATTTTATGTCCTTTGGGCTATCTGGTGACATCCAGCCAATAAGCAGAGCCTGACACATACCCACAGGCTTATTTACTAAATGGCAGGATGCACTTTCCCTGCAGATGATTTTTATGCTATAAGTCTTTTCACACCTTAAATTCAGCTTCTGGTGGAGTTACCTAAAAATTGAAGGAGTTTTTAATCTCACTGATCGCTACACTGCATTCCCCAATCCATAAAATGGGTTCACATTTCCCTTCAGGTTTAGTTCCTTTGATTACACCCAAGGGTCAACTTGTCCTGTTTTCCTGGTATACACTTCTGACATTTAAGTGTTTATGTATGCTTTAATTCTCTTAATGTATACTGTCTTTTTAATGTGTGTTATCATATGATACATGTGTAATTATCTGTGGTTATATTGTTGAGGTGAGCAGTTTTTATTTTATTACTGCTCCAGTGTATACCATTTCCCCATACAGTACTTAATAGTAATATGTGAATATTCTTTTGCAGGTAAATCCTTGAACCACATAATGGAGGGACAGCACCTCATAGCTCTAGTTCTAGGGCCACACCCACAAGGAGTTTGAAAAATGTAAAAAAAAAAAAAATAAAAATAAAATAATGATAAAAAAGCCACATAAAAGTGCATTATTCATTTATCTGGAACACTTCTGAATATTGATTCATCCACATAATTTATCTAGCAGCTCACAATAAATAATTTATTCATAATGCACATTGTTTACAGTGTATGTTTTATATTTTCAGCAAGCCCTTTCTTACCTCAGTACTGTACAGGGAGGACAACACAGATTCTCCCTCATTTGCTCTCATTCATTCATTTAATCATTCATTCATTTTAGCTGCTGTAATAGATGTGTTCTGCTGTGGTGTACCCTTCCACAATATGTCCCCAAGATTTCCACAGTGTAGATGTATTGAGATTAATTTGGATATTACTAGAGATATGGAGATAGAGTTTTGTAAAGACCATGGTTGTCATAAATGGTGCTAATAACAGTTACCACAACCAGCTGTTGAAAACACTCTTTTTGTTTATGTGACTCAGTGGAAATTAACCAGTTTTAAACTCCTATTGTGATTTAAAAAGCACGATTTTTTTATACACAAATATATTAGATTTGACATAAAGGAAATGTTCCACTATACCACAGTTTTTAATAATGATATCATTTACATTGTTCCGTTTACAACTCCCTGGAGAAATGGAATCCGGTGTTACTTGTTCATACTTAGTACTGTACAGTACAAGTCAAAATTATGAGTGACTTGCTTCTAATTGTTCCCCAAATTGTGGCAAAACATTTTTGTTATTTTGGGAAGTTTAGTTACATACCGGTAAGGTGCAGTTCAGGAAATATTTACAAGGTACAGTATCTTCTATTTTGTAAAGTTGAAAAAAATTGAAAAGAGGCGAAGGTTTGTCCAAACCATGAGATTGATGTTTTGTGGCAGAATGAGCTTAGAATAATTAATTTGTAAAAAGACTAATGATAAAAATATAACTTAGGTTGATTAATGTGAAGGTAATATTAGGAACCGGTTTTTCATAAAAACATTACCCGAGAGTGTGTATTCTTAAGGTGTTGGATATTGAAGAAATAAGTGAAAAGATAACAAGTGTAATTATTAATGATCATAGGGTGATGTGCGCCCTCACCATGTTAAAGCTTGAGTAACTAAAATTGGCCAGCAAATTGAACACTTAACTTGTGAAGCGAATAACTTTTACTTTGAACTGGTAACACTTTCTTAACATTTAACTTTAAAGCTTTGATGTGAAACAGAAGGATGGATAGTAAACTTTATACAGTGAAGATGGATTTCTAAAAAAGTTAATTTGGAGTTAGTATTGTTAATAGATTGAAGAAAAATATATATCACTGGAAGATAGCAATATAATTATGAAGTAAATAGATAAAAATATATGATATGAGGTGTAAGGACGTAAGGAACAGATGGCAAGAAGAGAATACTATTTGTTTAAGCTGTATGGTGGATAAAGCAGAGGAAGACTGAAAGCAAAGGCAAAAAAAAATGTTGGGGGAAAATTTTTTATACTTGGTGAAGGAGGTATTGTTGTGGAAGAATGTGTAGAACTGTGTTAAGATCATAATGTATGGAGGGGGATCTACATGGGTTAATGTATAGGAGGAAAAGCTATATAAGATACAGATGAGTCATAAGGGTGGGAGAGGATACCAGAAGTAAGATTTTTTTTTTAGTGAGTAATGATTAAGGTGACATGTACAGTAATTGAGTATACTGTATACCGGTAGCTTAAAATAAGATGTATTTTTCTCAGACATTTGTGTGGTATAAATATGACTATGCAGAAGTTATCATCCCTGCATTTATTATTTATGTATTGAAATAGATATCCTACTTAAATACAGGAGCATCTTATTTAATATTTATCAATCTTGAAATATATTGTGTGTTGATCTTCTTAAAAAAAAGTAAGGAATTTTGTATTTTAAGTCGTAGAATTCTAAAAACTAAATCTGCACCATTAATTTTTATCTTTAGCCAAAAAATATATTGACAGGCCACAAATGTTTTGCTCTGGTGAACAAAGAAAAAGTTGATGGAGTAGATGGGGGAGTGAGTATTGTTTAAGTGGTGCGTGGAGGAGACTGCATGAATTACCCCACGTGGCTGTAGGAGACTACAGTGAACCCTCACTTTACGCGGTTAATTCAACCCACGGCGGCCCGCGTAAAGTGAACAACATAACATATGGGATTAATTGAAATAGAGACCGGGCCGACCCCCAAACTCCACTTTTTCAGACACAATACCTACGTTGTAGTAAAAATAACTTCTTAATTTTATGATGGTATGCACACACAATTAATAATTAAGAGAAATATCAATAATATTAGGTTTTTTAACACTTACATTAATAGAAAAGATGGCTGGGCACACAGGGATGGGGGGTTGGTTCCGAGGCAGAGGGCAGATTATTGGCCCTCACCTGTATCACTTGTATCAATTGTATCACTATCCACCACAGAGGCTTGCAGGGCCTCTTTGTCAAACCCCTCAAAGTTCATATAAGTCCATATCCTCACTATAATTATCACTATCACTGACTCGGGCCGGCTGTGGTGGGTGACGGGTGAAGAACTCGGTAATGTTTTGATGACTGGGCAACCTTGTGCGCACCCTGCTCGCGCTGCTCTCCGCGTAAAAGGGTACACACACACCGCGGAAAGTGAGCATTCCGGTTTCGGCAGGGTACCGCGTAAACGTGAAAACGCGTAAAGTGGGACCGCGTAAAGCGAGGGTTGACTGCTGTATATTGGACAGGATATAAATAAACATTGACTCGTGTATAAATTATTATCAAATATTTTTATTCTATATTTATTTATAATTCTTTTGCTGTTCAACAGTCAGATTATAGTACTTAACTGAAATTATGAGAATCTCACCTAATGGTCACAGGAAAGAAAGTGTCAAGAATGTATGAAAGTACAGTAGTAATTTTATGCATATACTGGACTGTACTTTGGTGTATATTTCTCATGATTAATGTCAGTATAGTATGTTGATAGGTCCCTTGTTCAGTAAATTACTTGAATGAAGTGTACACTGAAGCTATTTGAGCAATGAACACCATCATCCTACCTGTGCTGGTTGTTATTGGTAACAGCCTAACACTTTTGAGTATTCTTAAGGTGATATCAGATGAACACACTGTTGTTTGTTGACAATTGGTTGTGGCAGTGTGGTAAGGAGAATAAGGAGGAGGAGTGAAGATTTATGAAGTGAAAGAATCGCTTGGAGGCTTTTCAGTCCTAGGTGGGAGCTGTATAGGGGAGTGAGGCATCACAGACAAGAAAATAAGACCATAGTGAAGCTTGCTGGTGTAGTATGTGAAGACTGAGTAAGATCTAAGTTGTATTTCTTTTGACTCTGTCATGATGAATTAGTGGTGATTAGTATTAGTCAATAAAAGAGCTTGCCAGACACTCAGTATTGCTAGTAATATGGGAACAGTTCTTTAAGTCATACGAGCAGTAACTCTAAGCTCAGATTGAGTCTTGTGCTACTCCACCTTTAATTATTGCATATTTAAGCATTTTAATATTCCATGCATTCTTAACTAAGCTAATGGCCTATGTGGAGCTAGATTTTTTATAGTACTTTTATGTATACAGTATATTGTAATAAATGTATAACACACAACATGTAATACTGCTGAGTCCATGTTGTCAAGGATTTGTGTGTTTTCTTCAACTGATTAGAGATAAAAGTACATATCTAGCTCCTGGAAAATCTCAATGCAATTTTAATGCCATTTTAGACATTACTTTTTTGCTTTAGCTGAAGTGAGCCAGTGAGTTACATTCTTTTATATCCAGTTGTATGGAGAACTTAATGTATCCAGGATGTGGTGTGTAGCACTTACCTCCTGTGGAGTTTTGATTTTTTACCAAACATCTTTGTGTCACATGGTGTCTGGACTGTATTGTATAATTATTGTAAGTTTTGTGTGACCATTGCTGGTCCTCACATCAGGAAATTTTATAAGGGCATTTATTTTTATATGAAAATTTGTAACCACTAGATGAACTTCAGCCTTTGGCTTCTTATGGTAATCTGGACATAATTGTTGCTGTATATTTTTGTAGTTACTGATGTGAGAAATTCACACTTAGTTACATTCCATATCTCTAGCCTTTCTCTATAGTCTTTCAGGAACCAGTCTTCATAAGTCATAAGTATTATTGCATATTGCACTACTATTTCCCAGTTTATGCATACTAATGAAGAAAACAAATGAATAATTCCTCCCCCCTTATGTATTGGAAATAAAATGTATGATATATTTACACAGCTTAAACATAGATAACACAAGATGTTGGGAAATTTTGAGATAAGTAGGGCTATAATTTATATTCTAGAGATTGTTATACTATATCAACTAGGGTTCAGCCTTTTTTAGGTACCCCCAACATCTGCATTGTACATTTTTTACAAAGAAAGCTCAGCAATATTTTCATTATACCTGTCTCATATACTGTACTGTACATTATTAAGTGTTGTGTCGAGTGAATATCTTCCACAGATGTTACTGTTACCTTCAGTCTTATTTCACAGTGTTTAGGATTAGGAGCAGCAGTCCATTAGATGATCTTGCAGTTGTGTGCAAAATTTTGTTCAAAATGTTTAATGGTTTTTCTTCTACTTTTAAGGCCTCTTTTTTATATATACAGTACTGTATAGGGGTTATGAGTGATCAAAAGTGATTTTTGTCTGTTGTTATCAACGGCCTGTAATATTTTTCATCTTTCTTTATAAAAGTATTAAAAGTTATTAAACTTGATGACAGTATACTGCAGAATGTAATATGTAATGTTCATGATCTGTGGCCAATTAATTATCATGTAACTTGCTTTTCCCAACCACCTGTACTAATACCTTCTTGATGTTGATGCAGTGGCTGAAATAAATCGTTAAAATTGCTTAAATTAGTAATCTTGGATCTGAGAAGTTTTATTTGTGATAATCAAATTATGTAAACTGCATAGTTCAAGCGCATGCGTGTTGATAAACGCTTTTAATTCTTGCACACTTAGTTGTGTAAATATAATTATGTACTGAAATGTTTAAAAAATAATCATTATCAGTGAATGAATAAGAGTGAAAGTAACTTGCATCACATTGAAATTTGAGGCAGAAGATTCCTTAAATGTAAGCAAGTGCAAAATTACACAGCATTACAGTATTTACAGGTCATGATCATTGCATATCACAGTTTGTTATTCATTTTTAAACTCTTGCCCATAGTAAAATGATGATGTATTTCTTAAGGCAGTATTGTGGATGAACAGTAATATCTCTTTATTCTAATGCCATCTATTTGTTAGGAAAACATTAATTTTACATTAAACTCTTCCTTATATTTCTTAAAACTTTATACTGTACTGTGGTTATTTAGCTTCATGTTTAAGTGATTGTCTTACATATTTGTCCTGTGTTAATTTGTCCCAGCTCTAAAAAACTGTGATCACTTTTCTCTGCCTTTAATCTTACACTGTACAGTATAGACTTTAGATCTCTACCATAGCATTGAATAGCAGAATTCCATATTGAAGGTCACCTTTACTTTTATATGCAGGATATAAGTTTATAATTGACAAACTAAAGTAATACTCATGTTATTTGATCCCACATGGGACCTGGAATGAATCAATTATTAAAAAAATAAATAAATAAATACGTTGAAAAATTTATCTTGTATACCGTACAGTACACGAAAGGAAAAATAATAATTTCTTAAAAAATTATCCCTTTGTGGATATACAGTTGTGCACCAACACTTTTGATGGTGAATACAAAATACTCTTAAGGTAATGTAATCTATACAGTACTGTACTGTACTTGTATACAACTGAAGCTCCTCTTATTGTTGTGATTGGCTTCATATGGCATGGGACAGTACATACTGTGAAAAAATTCACAGAATAAATTTTTCAAATTGGTAACTAAACCACCTTAAAATATATAATTTTATACTGTGGTATTTCAACAATGAAATTTTGATGCCCATTGGCATCCTCTCGGGTGTGTACTGATTACTGAAGTGTGGACATATATGTTCCCTTCATTAAATGTGAGTTACACTATAATATATTAATGGAACACAATGTTACATGGACTTTTTTGGGACAACTTGAACATTACCATCAGTTAGATTCAAATTTTCCTGATATTGTAAATTCAGCTGAAGAGAGTAACCCACCATAGCCAATGACTTGTATATGTGTGCAGTATACTGTATTGTGCTGCCCCATCCTCCCTGTGTAGTAGGATGGTTTGTATATGAAAATATTGGTATTTTGTTTTATTTTATTTTTAAACATGAGAATGGTGATACAAATCTTTACATGACCACACTTATCATTAAATATAAAGAATATTAGATGGACACTTGACAAAACAAGGCGTGTTGGTTCTGTTTTCTTTATTGACAAGTTTATATAAGATTTATATATTATTTTCAGTATTTTTAGGTCAGATTAGATAGTTTACAAATACTGTATAAAGTGAAATTATTCTTATGTTTCCTTCTTATAAGTTTTGGACACTGAAAGTTGAAATACAATCAGTTCTACTTCTGTTTTAGACTTACCTGTAAGTTAATTAATCAGGTGATAACTCGACGTTTCTTTTCCTTCAGATAACTTGTATATCCCACACTCGCAATATTTTGAGTATGGGGGTAAATATGTTCCTACCTGTGACCATAAATAATTACATTATTTCACATTTGTATTTTATCACTTCACCAATCTACTTACTTTTTCCCAGTTTCAGTTGTTTAACAGAACATTTTATTACTGTGGACAAATAGTTAAGGTTGACCCTGATCATACATCGTATTCATAATTCATTCTCGAGTACAGGAAATTTTACACTTGAGTGCAAGATATCCACCTGACAGTATATTAATTCAGCACTTCAGATATTATCTAAGTACAGTACAGCTGTATGTAGAGTACAGATACAGCATTTCCTTTAAATCCTTCATTCCAAAGTGTAAAGAATTTGTTTCTTCACATCTTGTTGGTGCATAGAAATTTCTTTCTTTCATATTTACATAATATGTCATAATTTATGTGCATTAAGGTATTCTGCTCATGTCCAGTAATATGTTTGAGACAGAAAATACAGTATTTCGATTACCATGCCCCAATGAATCATTTTTATTTGATCAAACTAAACAGCATCCAGTCTGCCAGTTATCAACTGGTGAGGTGGGTTGACACCATGG